TATGGTACATTATTTTCTAATTATTGCTCATAGAATATAGAATTACCTACAAAAATGACAGAAATAGGATATGAGTATATGTTATTAATATACAACAAAAAGGTTGAAAAGGCAATTATAAAGTGTTGATACACAACTCGTAAGTGATCAGCGAAATTACAGAAGGTTCATTCGACATAGTAATTAATTAGTATAACTTTTCACTTCCAGTTTATGTTCTACTTACACGCCAGTTACAACTTGTAGCAGTTTAATGGCCTTGGCCCTGAAAATCGACAACTGGCATTGCAACTGTTTGTTTAGATTTGACAGGAATGCAACATTGCAAGTGAAACTTTTACTAAAACAGTAAAAGTAAGAGAGTAAGTATTCGTTTTTTTTTGTTATAAATAGCCTATTATTAATAATATTATTATTAAGTATGGTTTTAGAATTTCGGAAAGTCATTGATTAATATTAGTATTCTGAATAGAGTAACAGAAAACGAAAATATATATATATTGCATAACAATTAAGAGGAAACTTAAAACTATTAAAATATGATGGCAGTTAATACAAATGTACTACTAAACTAAAAGATACATTACTTTTAATTTTGAAAGCTACATGCTTAGAAACAATGTTTTTTATTGAAACAGAAGTATTAGTAAAACTACTTGCAATTGTAAGAAATAGTCGTAGACATACTGGGATAGTCAGTAGACTATATATGTTGGGATGGCCAAGATACACGATGAGCGTAATACAAATATGCATGCTAAAAATCAACAGTAACTGAGAGTTTTACTTTTAAGTACGATTTCAACTGTCTTTTTATTTGATTCTATACCCAATAAGGCAAGAAACCATCATTAAGATACCACACCAGAAAGTGACTAACCCAATAATTTTTAAATTGTTCATTATCTTATGGTTTCAGTGGGATAACTCTAGTGGGATTTTATCAATATCAAATGTCTAGTGGGATTGTTTCTGGGCCGTGCATGATGTCATCGCTTAGTCGTAATAACTAGTACCTAAGTAGCATTAATTAAAGAAATCATAATTCTAGTGTAAATGATGTTAACATTACCCCTTGAAGTTAGTGTTTTACAAAAACCTGGTGTACCTTTAAAAAGCTTAAGTACAGGGTGAAATGGGAATTACCAGTCAATAATAGATGACTGTAGCATGTAGAATACTCAATGCTTAGTACATTATACAATCAGTGTCTTTATGGAGCCAACCCCTATATTATGCATGAACTGAAGGAGTTAAAAAAATCAATACACATTAAGTTTTATTATACATATTCATAGAATACACTAACTTTCAGTCAAGGGAAAAAACGTCTCAAAACAAGTAATAAAAAGAAGTTGTAAATATAAGATTATGTTGGGATGGCAGTGCCAAAAAGAATGCAACCAAAAATATGGGGATGTTAC